AAGATGCCATCTTTTCTGTCACACAGTCCTTTAAAAAGTCAGGGCTGTGGTTTGCATCGTGTCTTCAAATAAAATGCACTTTTAGCTGACAAAGGACACATGACACAGTCCGTTAAAAAGTCAGGGCTGTTGTTTGCATCGTGTCTTCAAATATAATGCACTTTTAGCTGACAAAGGACACATGCTGCAAAAATAGTTTGGGGCCAACGTTCCTCCTGTGGGAGTTCATTTTAGATTTCACACAAAAATATAGCAGCTTTCCTGGTGTCCGCGCTGTACAAAGACAAGATGAGGGTGGGCTGAGTGAAGGAGTTAAAAAGTCAGGGCTGTTGTTTGCATCGTGTCTTCAAATATAATGCACTTTTAGCTGACAAAGGACACATGCTGCAAAAATAGTTTGGGGCCAACGTTCCTCCTGTGGGAGTTCATTTTAGATTTCACACAAAAATATAGCAGCTTTCCTGGTGTCCGCGCTGTACAAAGACAAGATGAGGGTGGGCTGAGTGAAGGATACTGACGGGCAGTTAGCGTCTGTCCAGGAGATACAAAGGCTGGGATGCCAGGGGATCAGTGCACTTCTACCAGCTGTGTGCATTTCAATGTGCAAATTTCCAACAGTGCTTTAGCAAGGAAATTAGAAGTCCAAGGATATGGCATCCTTGTCAATGTATGAGGATGTTAAAGATGGACAAAAATACTACTTGAAAACCTCATGTTGAACCTGCTTTGAAAAAGAAAAGTATTTGTCCATACCCTGGCTTCTCTACCAGGAGAGCGGGAACGTACTGATTGGCCTCACAAAGGTTCTTAATGCCTGAGCACTAAAGCCACCTAGCATCTACTAGCTTTCTACTGCACAGAGGTTTCCAAAGGTACATGCAGCAGCCGCTGCTTCACTTGCAAAGGTACTGTTTGTTCCAGTGTACCCCAAAAAGGGTAAGGAAATAAATAACGATTAGCTAACCTAATCTGGAACTTCCTCAGCTGGGAAGCAGAAAACTGAAATGAACCATTAACAAAAAAAAAAAAAAGAGGGAGGAAAACCCAGAGTGAAAAACAAAAATCCACTCCAAACTTTCTCAGAGGGCATCTCTGTGCTGCACCCACATACGGTCAGGACGGGGACCCAGATAACCTGGGAGAAGGGAAGCTGGTACAGTCACGGCCGCAGCGCGTGCGATCCCCAGGCTTGTTCAGGCATTTACACGGCACTTCTCTGCTTTGCTCTTTTTGAGCAAGACTATCTAGAGGATGACGGATATACAGAGCTACCCTGAGATCTCTCCACAAAATCTTCTCTCCTGCTAAATTAACTTAAATGGCAAAGACAAAAGTTTAATGTTTAAGCAGAGTGGACATGCTACATTTACTGTATTTCTTTAACAAAATGAGGCCAGTTTGTAATTAAATTTGAAAATGACTGCCCGTACCGAGGCCTGAAAAAACTACCTGCAGCTGAAAACCAGTGACATTTCAAAGACAGCCAGTCAGTCCGCCAAACTCTAACACTGAAACCCAGAATCTGTTTAAGCACTTCAGGTGGCTTTGGAGAGCAGGAGCATTTTCTTCCTTTCAGTAGAGTCAGCTCCTCTGGTGCCGGAGCGGAGGGCGGATGTGCCGGAGCGTGCCTGCAGCACTGCTGCCAGAGTCGGGGAGCGGAGCCTGGACCCCACCGCATCCCCCAGCTAGGAGCCGAGCAGGGAATAGGAAGGGGCTGGGGGAGACTTTAAGGAGTAGGGAGTTACCTAGGGACAATATCTGAAGGTGGAAGAACGGAAGGAGAGGATCCTTAGGGATACGGTGACCACAAGGAAACAGTTCAGTTCACTAAAACTATGTTTAAAAGAACAGTCTGAAACGCAACCCACCACCCGTCCCCAAAATGCACTCGGTTAATTTGAGTCAGATGCTTACATTAAAAAAAAGGACCAGAATAAATGCGTAATAGCTGTACCACTGCTTAAACCAAACGTGTACTGGTACAGCAAAACAAACTCCAGAACGAAGGAAAAGCTACTTTTAGTTCTGTCTCTTGTTTGTTTGTTTAATAATTACCAGACAATAATCATTTAGGAGAAACTGAAAGTTATAAACATTGAAGAGAGGCTGTTATAAATTTTTTTTATTACTATTGCTAAACACGTCAAGATTGCTTGCCAATTTAACAAAGACATCTTGATTTGAAAGGAATCTAAGCCCCGATCCAGCATCTCTTAAAAGCATGCCTCAACGTAAGCACATACTTAGATCTGTCAAAGCTAACGCAGCCTTAAACATGTGCTTTAAGTCCAGTGGAGAACACGGGTAAACTTTAGCACACGTTTAAATGCTTTCCTATACTGGGACAAGAAACACATGATTTCTGGAACGCATGCTCTTCTGTGATGTTAACATAGAGAAGTGAAAACAAAACAACTCAGAAAAAAATGTTTGGATTGAATTGCTGAACATGACCCTGTCCTCTCCTGCTTAGATATTCCCTTCGAAGGGAAATAAGCTATATGATTTGGAAGTCTCACTGCATCCCGTTACGAGAAGTACCAGTAATTCAGCAATGCATTGAAAGTTATCCGTACCAGTGCTATAGCCCATGTGAAAAATGAAAATATAAAGAGTCTCACCAAGTCGGTACTGAGCCACTCCTCAATGTCATCCATGACAGAGGACTGTGCAACAGGGATCTAGGGAGTGCAGCGAGAGAACAGCAAGGCAGGCAAAAACCAAAACACATCCACAATCATGGCCACAGAGCGATGGAAAACGCCAGAAATAAGATTAAAAACAAAACAAAAACAAAGATGTAAGATGTGCTGGAAAAAAAAAGGCAACAAAATATAAATGGCATTTCAAATAAAGAAACACTTGGAAAGGAAATTATGGACAACAAGGCTAAAAAAAACCAAGAGAAAGATTATGGGGAATGATGTGACTTGATGCCAGCGTAAGACGGGTAACTTCTCGACCACATATTAAAACCATCAAGACGGACTGATGATTCTAATCTTGATCGTGAAAAGCTTTTAAGGGTAGAATACTGGATATCAGATAGGTTTTGAAGTGTTACATTTACACCTTTTATTTTTTAAAATGGGTATTAGCCACAGTGAAGGGTTAGCAAAAAGAGGGGCTCAAAGTCTTCAGGCAACAATCCTACAATAACAATTTGATTTTCTCCGCAGGTGGAGGCAGTCAGAGCCCAGGGTACACAGTCATGTTTCCTTCCAGATCCTCCTCCCACCACACCACTGAGCCTTGGCAAGCCTCGGCACACCAGTTTAAAGCAAAATTGTCCCGGCTCCCTGTCCCCGCTCCTCTGCCAAAGGTGACTCTCTCACAGCGGAGGCAGCAGAACCCAACGTGTGCCAGCACAAAGTGCAGAGTCTCAAGGGGAAGGTGAGGAGGAGGATGGGGCAGCAGCAGCTCCTGGCATGGGCAGAGGTGAGCATAGCACGTGCTCCTCTTGGCTCCTGCTCCGGCACCGGCAACACCTTGCAGTGCTGCAGCAAGGCTCACCAGAGCTTGCCCGTCAGGCCTCCACGGATGGTTTAACAAAAAGGCATGGAAGGTTTGCATCTCCTCCTGCGATAAAACCACTCACGTTATGCTATGCAATCGCGACAGGCAGCGCAGACGCAGCGCGCCGGGTGCTGAAGTGCAGCTATTTCACAAGGCGCTACAGGCGAGTGGGTCAGCGAAGGGAAATTACTGCGTATGAGGTGCAGAATTTCCTGACTTAACTACACTGCTTAAATACAACAGAGGGCTGCAGAAGTAAACAGGAAAACACCACAATAGATCTCATACACACAACCTGAAAAACACTTGGAAAGCAATGTCAGACACGCAGGTTCCAGGCCAGAGCATGACAGCCGAGCAGCGGGGCTGGAGAGGTTCTTCTTGGAAGAAAAGGTTTCAGGGTTTTCCTGAAACCTCTCACGGGAAGAAGAGCTGAAAGAGGCTCTGCAGGTGAATTTGCAGGGAGATGTAGTTTTTCTCAGGGACTTCTATCGGAGGAAGACAGACAGATGCTGAATTACAGAGGCAGCAGCACAGGCTGATGGTGTTCAGCAGAGCTCCTCAAGAATTTTGTCTTCTAATCACATGGCCCTCTGCACTGAGGAGGTCAGTGAAGCTCTTGCTTGAGGTGAGGTCTGCTAAGGTGGGTTAGTTGTGTCAAAGGACTGGAAATCCAGGGCTCAATCCAAAGCATCTCCCCCCAAGAAAGGCACCAGGAAGATGGCTTAGCTCCAACTCGGCAGGTTGCTGGACAATGCACGTGACAGCTCCAAGAAGGGTCAGAGCTGCAAGTCGTCATTTAGCTTTCAGCTAATACATGAAGATCCCAAATAGAAAGTAAGTTCCTGCAGTTTCTTTTGGAATGGGTCAGATTTAGGATAATGGCCCCTTTTTAAATCGCAATGGGGAGCTGAATCATGCATGTACAACGCTAACGCAGTGTGCTGAAGCTGCTGCGAGCTGGCCCAGATGGCCATTAACAAGAGCAGGGCTCTGTAGACATCTTCCAACATATTCCTTCCCAAGGACAAGTTGTGTCCTGTAGAACTGGCTTGTTAGTTTAACAGCTTTGGAAAATACTGGCTTCAGAGATACAAAGCAATGAATTTATTCATCCTACAGCAACCTAAAACCTACTGCAGAAGTTTCACTGCTGTCTCTCTCCGGTATTGCTTAACCCTGCACACAGTAAGTAATGCTTTGGAAGGTGTAGCCTTCAGAGCTGTTGGCTAGTTTGCAGCTCCGAAAGATACTTGTGCTTCTTTAAGGATAAGAAAATCTGTATGGAGAGGAGGAGGAAAATTGCAGGGTTTTTTCACTTTTCTGTGAATAAAATAAGAGTGGCGGTTCTAAAAAGTGTGGTGGTACTGCGGTCCCTGTATTAGAAGGAAGATCAGTTCGAATCTTGGTTATCCTGAAAACACGACAGATGACTGAGAATCACAGGACTCTTGAGTTTGCAGGAGTCCTCGAAGAACAGCTCAGCAGTATACGAGTCTGTGCTCTTGTGTTTTGCAAGATTAAAAAAAAAAATAGGGGGGGGAGGGAAAAAAAAAAAAAGAAAAAAAGGAATTCTACTTTCAGACAGACCTACTTTATATAACAAACAAAAACCTCAGAAGTGCAAGAACACTTCTTGCAGATCATATGTAAGAAGCAGAGAGCTGTAAGACAAACATTTGAGCTTGTCAGCCGTTTGCTATTCAGCATTGACCTTTTAAAAAGCTTCCCCCACCTTCCAGCACACTTACAGAAGAGCCAAGGGTTTGTACCTGTTGCTTCTTCCAGGCTCAAACCTCCAACTTACTCTCCTCAGACTCTGAGCCCCATTTTCCCCCAAAAAACACGGATTAAATGTATCAGATTTAATTTGTTCAAGAACAAAGAGGGAGGAAACTCTCAAGAGTAACTGGAATTTTAAAAAATATTTTAACTATAAGGTTGTACCATTTATATTTAATCTGAAACTGACCACACAGAAGTTCATTTTTTGCCAGGCAGTTGTGTATTTGGCAAGTCTCCCCCTTCCAGAAGCCCTAAACTGAAAAATGTGGAGGGGGGTTTTGTTAAAACTAATCCCCTAAAGCACGACAGAAGCAACGTAGAAATAAATTAGCTAGTTTACACATTAAAAAAGACAACAGTTTCTGGGAACAAACAGCAGTGGCAGCCACAGACTACAGGGAAATGGCTCCGGAATGGGGTACCGTCTTGTTAATACTTTGATTATGCAAACATACACGGTCTAGTGAAGCTCTCAGTCTTGGCAAGACAGCTCTCTAGATAGTCAGTGTTGGCTGCCAGAGCTGGTTTTTTAATGACATTGAGTACAGACTTTTAAAAAAGGAACCACAAAGTAAATGGAAATTAAATCACAAAATATTTTGGGGTACTTTAAGTAACTGGTTTTAATTAAAAGTTAGGCTCATTGTTCAAATTCTTTTTTTTTATGTAGCCTTTGGAAAATCCTACAAATGGGTTCATCTCAACAGCCTGAAAGGGAAATGGAAAAGGAGGGCTGGGAGAACAAAAGCGAGTGTTCAACCCCACAAAACCCAGGGGAACCTGGAATTCAAGTTCATACTTATCTAAGTTAGATTGTGTTGGTGATCTCACTAGCAATCAAAAACCAAAGAGCATTGCCAATATATTTCCTCAGAAGTCATAAAATCCAATATTCTACCCTTAAAAAGACAGTTTAAGGTTATTATTATCACATTTTATTTCTATTAAAAATGATCCCACTGGAAAAGAAGCAGGTATGAAATGACAATTCAGGTCTCTAGGTGAGCTCATTAATGTTCTTAAAATGTTTAACAAGGTTCATGCTAATTGTTGCTAGACTACTGTCTTGTAGTAGCTTAGTTAATTCCACTTCTTTCTAGATGTTTAACAAAGCTGACACCAATATTTGGTTAGCTGCTATTCACTCCCCCGGGTTAGTTAGCAACAGTAAAGAAAGGTCCATCATTCCAACAGTAGTGGAATGAGAGCACTAAGATGCAGGCTAGCCATCTACTCCAACTCACTACTACAGTCTTACCATCTATTTAAAGCTGTTGCAATCCTGAAATAGCTGCCTGGCCTCAATATTAGAACACGTTTGATTTTACATGTAAGGACTGAATTAGCTACTTGATTCCTTGTAACTGTGTTTACACATCACCTAGATGAGGAAGGCAAGAGCTCAGGTGCAGCATGTTCCCCAACACAGCCTGTTGTGTCCGTACAACAACTAGTCAATGTGGATCTGATAAGCACATCCAGACAGCGAAAGCCCTCGTTCACGTGGGGTATCAGATTGTCCCTGTAAAATGCTCTGTAAAATGCCATGGCTGTTCAGGTGATGAAACCCACTTGGTCTTCAGAATAAGGGAACATGCCTGCTTGCCTTCAAAAGGGTGAGGGGTCCTACCACACAGAAGAAATGAGATCTTCACATGTTTATTTCTCAGTTTGTCCACAATTCAAGCACTTCAGTCTCCAAGAAGTTGACATATTTCAACAGTCTCATGTTACTCAAGTCATTTCCACATCTTAGAACCCATCTCTCTATTGAAGGCATACATAGCAGCATCTCAATTTGATACTATTAACATCTCAGCAAAGGTTTCATTTAATCTTTACTCACGTATCTTTATTAGAAAGAGGAATCTCCTCTCTAGCCAGGCATGCTGCTGGTGGTCAAGATGCAGTACTGAAAGCTGTTCGTATCACTTTCTGTGAATTCTGGTTCATTTTCAATTCTTCCTGTGCCACTGTCCCAAATAACATCTGTCCTGACATGGTGGCTTAAGCAACACCTGCTTCTCACTTTTGTAACAAACATCCATTTGGCATGTGAGTGGGGTGACTGATTATTCTAACAAATGAATGTATTTGTGCAAATCTCAATAGCTGCCCAAACTCATGAGAAGGTATTGCCTGCACTAAATTGGAAATGCACTGGAATTACCTGCACCAAAATGTGGCAGCCTTATGCTAAAATCTGTGCCTAAGAGCTGCTGATACAGACCCCTGTATGACACCTGCACAGCCTAATTTGTAAAAACCCAGGCCTTACACTGCAAACAGATCTGGTACTGGAACGGCTCAGCTAACATAGAATCGTATCATAGAATCATAGAATGGCTTGGTTGGAAGGGATCTTAAAGACTATCTTGTT